CACTACCCTCACTAACTAATACATTAACCTAAAACAAAGGGTTTCCCCAGTAACAGATATTGGATACCAAAATGTACATAGAGTCAAGTGACCCCCTTTAGTAACTACAGTACCAACCCGCCTGAGTAAAGTAAGTACAGTAAAGCCTCGAATAACGACGTTAATGTGTACCTCCAATATTGCAGTTTAAGGTGAATTGCCTTATCGCGAATCAGTAATTACCATTAAAATAAAGCAATAATAATGAGATGCATTCCCAAGTGTGACCTTTTCATATCTTTTGTGTGGCTTTTTACCCTCTTTTCCCCCAAAAACAATACAATGAATGAAAATTGCAAACCATATTCTTTAAATAATGTTTCTCAATGTACCTTATACAATGTAAATGACTAATAATATGGTCACACAAGAGATGGGACACCATTGTTTTCGTTTGTGTTTACAGCCAGGAGTCCGGGACGATAGTTCTACATGAAAAAATTAAGAAAATAAGATCCTGGTTGTAGCTGTAGTAAAATTAATGTAAAAAAATTAATATACTGTACATGTTTTAAGTAACATTATTTAATGTTAATAAATGGAACAATAGAAGTAGCTAACCACTAATGTCAAAGAAAAAAAGAGATGGATTGGGAACGCCAACATATACGTGCGCATTTAAGGATACCGAGTCATTTATCTTTTTAAGACATGTACAAAAGAGTCATTATTGTTTATTACTAAATATGTATTTGATTGAATTAATATTTATATATGCAAAATGAACAATACAATCCATTAATAATACGTAGAATATTAAAACACACAAGAGGATAAGAGACGGCATTGTTGTCAGTGTTTACACCCATAATGTCAGTTATCCACCTGATACTGAAGAAAATAAGACCCTGGTTGTTGTTGTAGTAAAATTAATGTAAAAATTATGTATGCTTAATTAATGCTATTTAATATAAAGTAGAAGTAACCACTGATATTAAAGAAAAAGTGAGACTGATAGTGGAACGCCAATGTATACGTGCGCACTCAAGGAAACATAGTCATTTATCTTAAGAATATGTACAAAAGAATCAATATTGTTTATTACTGAATATGTATTTGATTGAATTAATGTTTATATATGTGAAATGAACAATGCAATTCATTAATAATACGTAGAATATTAAAACACACACGAGGAGACAAGACGGCATTGTTTTCGTGAGTGACGATGGTTCTACATAAGAAACTGAAGAAAAGAAGACCCTGGTTGTAGCTGTAGTGAATTTAATAAAAAAAAATTAAATACCTGTATGTATGTTTCAAGAAATGTTATTTAATGTTAATAAATGGAACACTAGAAGTAGGCTAACCACTAATGGTAAAGAAATAAAGTGAGACGATTGGGAACGCCAACGCATGAACAGTAAGTGCGTACATGTGAAAACATATCGTCATTTCTCTACATATGAATATGAAAGCAACACTTATTTACTGTTCATATATGTTTTAAATAACATTTATGAATGTAAAAAAAAAATTCTACTTACCAATGGTGGTAAAGTCTAAAACATAAGGACAGCCAATGAATATTGTGCGAGTTTTTACTCAGATGACGAAGTCATCAGGTTCAACTCTGGCTGAAGTTGTAGCTTTCCATAAAGCTGTTGCTGAAACTGTTACTAAACCTGAAGTTGATGGTGAAGCTGCTTATGATGCTGAATTTGATGGTGTAGCTGAAGTTGGTGGTTCAGGCCTTCGAATAATAAAGCTGTTGAAAGAACTTTGCACAGCTGCTTTTTTTCTCATTACAGTGACCCCTCGTCTAACGAACACCTCGGTTAACGTAATTTCGATTAACGAACTGCCTTCCATAAGGATCTTCAATTCGGTTAACGAAAAAAAATTCGGTTAACGAAGTTCTTACGAACCGACCTCAACATGTTTTCGCTTACACTGACCGGGCAACCAGCTTTAGTATCAGTCCGCCAATACATTAATCGGTTCTAGGGCTTAAATTCCTTACTATTCTAGTAAATATCAAGAAGTTTATACTATTCAATAATTTTAAAAGTTTAATATTCAATTTTTTAGTCATTTTAACAATTATTGAACATAATTGAAGGTAAAGTGACTAGTTTAATGCGCGGCATCCAGCCTCTTAACACAGTAAACAGGCGTTAGTCTCTCTCTGTTTTCACTGGAGGTAACATCTTGCTTGAGACTCTCTTCAACTAAACGCTTTTTTTCTGTGTTTCCAAGCAAATTATTGGTCATTTTGAAATATATTTTATATATTGACAATATATAATGCAGTGCAGTGTTGATTTAAAGAAAATAATCTTGAATTACACCAGAGAGCTAAAATTTTATGGGTGAAATGGTGCCATGGGGTGACTTCTCTTCCACCCCAATGCCTTCTCCTCCACCCCCATTCTAAATCCCATCATCATCATCCAGGAGCCTTCTACATACACACCTCAAAGTAAGTGAACTTTTCTACCATTTTTGTTGAATTTAGGAAATTTTCGGTGAGCTGGAACCAATTTCCCAAAAACCCATTGAAACAATGGTTTCGGTTAACGAACTTTTCGGTTAACGAACGACCTTCTGGAACGGATTGAGTTCGTTAACGGAGGGGTCACTGTATACATCTTTATGTAGAGGTCATTTGCATTTATTTAAATTTTAATGCTTTGTTCTGTTAAGGGATCCACTTCAGAAAATATGTTCATTGCTTGCTTCATATAATATCCACAGACCTCTCACCTTTTCATATCGTTTTAACACATCTAGTTCCTTGGCTAAGCTTATACTCTTTCTATTAGCTTTAGAAACAACACTACCATCACTTGCTCTCTTGCTCATGTTGAATAGGGATGCAAAAATGCTGTAAGAAACCTGAGAAAGTTTTTCTCCTGTTCCGCTCCAGATGCGTAAAAACAAAAGGCCAGCCAAGCTCCGACTGTTGTTTGCCACTTATTAGCCAGGCAGCTTCTTTGTGCAAGGTGCTCTTCATTTTTTTACAGTATTGTCTTTATTTTATAATACATATCGGGATTTAGTTATTATTTATATGAAATGTAATTTTATTTTACTTTTATTATATTTTGGTCGTAAATACGAATGAAATAATGACGTAAATTGAATTGGGTCCTAAATTAACTAGGGTCTTAAATATGAAAAGTTGTTGGTCAAATTGTTGTTATTGGAGGCTTTACTGTACTATATATAATGGTTGCCCCTCATGTATGAGGATATCCGGTCCTTGGGCCACCTAGGTGTGAATTTTAAGGTGTAGAAGCTGTCGCCAACACAACAACCACACCCTGAGTTAACGATTTGCATGACCCGCGTCAAGGAATAGTCCGAGAAGACCGGACAACTCGCCAACTGCACTGGCTAACCATTACCCCGGAATATGATCTGCAAATCGATTAATGTCCAGGTCCCCAATTACTGCTGGGTAGACAGAGGTAAATGGCATAGAGAAACTTGCCCATAGTTTCACCCTGCTCGGGGATCGAACACGGGTCCGCTCACATGTGAGGCGAGCATGCTGACCAACGCACGCATGCACGCACACACACGTAGGTAATCTAGGGGAAGGAAGTGTGGTAGGATTTAATATTTGGTCACATGTCTGTAACTCTCGTCACTGAAGATCACGGACCAGACTGAATTTTGATAAAATTAACCTTTGGGCAAAGCCCAAGAGGGTGCCAGAGGTATGATACATTCACCATTGATCTTCATGCTATAACCTGTGCTACATTCAAATTTCACGTGTCTATAGTTGATAGTATTTTTAATACAGTCATGCGCCGGTTAACGTCCAACCGACAACGTTCGATCGCATATACGTCCGTGCCCCCAAAAGTGATGCCTGCTGGACCACCACTCCACGACACCCTGACGGAGACACGATGATCCTCCCCATACTGGCCAGATATTATGTGTTAAAGGAATATCCTTCCTTCCTTAGGCATTTGCCTCCAGGTGTAATGTTAACCTACATCTATTGAGGATAAAGTCTTTCACCCACAAATTGACAATAACACATTTGCTATAATCAGACATATCTAGTTGCCTCAACAATTGCAATTCCAGGTGCAATTGGGGTTGCAATTTCAAATTCTGTGTCATTACTACGGAATAAAGAAGTATCTGGTGTACTGCACTCTAAGATTAAGAGAAAACGGACGACTCAGGCATCTTGAATTGAGAGAAAACAGACTTCTTTGACGGGGCTCTCAAATAAAGAGAGACATAGCTACATGTTTTGTGGACTACCCACTTTACAGTATCCTTTTCATCACTTTGTAATAAACCTAGCCATGCCTATGTGTGTTTATGATATTTACCATAACATTATATATATATTTAGTGGGTATAAATGGTTGTAAAATGGGAAACTTGGGGTTGGGTGCCTGGAACCCCCATTAGAATAAATCCGATAGGTTTATGTAATTTCGGACAACGTCCATTTCGGTTAACATCACGTTTCCAAGAACGTATCTAGGACGTTAACTGGCGCATGACTGTACTATTATTTGTATCTTGAGGACACAATCAATGAGTCCAAGACCATGAGTGTAGCAAAACTTTTCAGACATGTCAGTTGTGGCCAAGACCGTGAGTGTTAATTTTAAACTTCACAAATTTTTCATAATAAAATTTGACATTTACTGTAATATTTTGCCTATTCAATTTACCCTAAGTTGTTTATTAGGTTAATGATTAAGTTTATTCCCTTATCTGCTCCAAAATGGCTATCACATACCTATTTGACACTTCAATGCAGAAGAGGGTTGAGGCCACTGCTATAAACCATACAATTGGATTATTCATGCACACTTTACACCAGCTAGTGCATATGAAGAAGAAAAGAAAAGAAAAGAAAAAAGGAAAGAAAAAAATTAACAGCAGGCTGATTAACTAGCAATCATCTAAAAGTGTATAGCAGATACTGTATCAGCTATACATTCTTTATGCAATTCAAGCTACACAGTACAATTTCTTACCGCAGTATCAGTTGTGTATTCTGCAAGTTCCTTAAGGACATGAGTTCTGGGCAGGAAGGCAATATCAACATAGTGTGAGAGGGCTGTGCGATAGGTGCAGGGGCAAGGGAAGGGGTGTTTCTTGCTACTGTCCTCATCAACATTAGTCAAGGTGATCACTTTATCAGGGTCTTCTCCAACAAGTTCTGTGAGTCGATTCACGAGGGCAGGGTCGTTGATGGGATAAATTGCCACATGATCACCGGAATCATACCTGGAAATTTAAGAGATTTTTTAAGTCCACTCACTGTCTAAATAATGCTTTGCTCAACATACTCTTGCTATTTCTATTCCCTAAATATTATTACATGGTTACATCTGATATGGTTTCAATTCCCACATTAACTAATGAAAGTCCTTTTGATCTACCAAGTATCATTCATTCAAATGGCTTCCTTGTTTCTTGATAAAGCAACTTCTTTATAAACTAAATCTTCCTACAAAATGCATATCCTCAGTCCATAAGAAACAGAAAAAGTACTTTGAAACTCCTAAAAGTAACAGAATCTTGATGATCCATTAATCTCAGGCCAAGCTGTAGACCAAGTTCTCTTGTCTACTGTTTCCTCCAAGAGATGGAGACTCTATCCCTGAGCTGATGTACAGTATCTGACCAAACTAATAGATCTCTTTGTATGTCTAAACAGCCACTGATGACAAGTACCAAGTCAATAACTACCACTCCAACAGGTCAAGGGAAAGAAACAACTTAGTCACCGAAGCTTACCTCTGGGGACTGAAACCACCACAACATATCTGGACTGGGAACAGCCTTTCATAATTTGACCACTAAAGCAATCAACACGAACTGTCCAGTTACCTTCTCACACCAACAGCAAGATACAGGTACAGTATTCATATTCAAACAATCACTCATGTGACTCCATTTACTTCTTTTTATTTAAGCTTTCCAAACTTAATTTGTTCATATTCTTATTTGACTTTATATTTAAAGTACTCTTCTAAACTTTGTAAAACACATTTCTTATTAAAATATTAAATAATACCTTATTCTTGAGCCCTCAATGTTCAGCTCGATGTGCATACAGTTGCGATCTCCACCCTGGAACAATTCTCTATTGACAGATATTTCTGCCATCATTGGATTCTTACTGTCAAATGGAGGTCTCTGGCTGCCAACCTAAAATGTAAGGAGAATCATGAATAGTTAAATGACAAAGCTATGCTACGATAAAAAAATAAAATAAAATTTAATAACTAGATCTAAAAGAATTACAGCATATATATATACACACAGTAATATCTCCGTTAACCGGAATCCCTCAAACTCGGAACTCTCCGATAGCTGGGATTGAAACTCGCTTGGAAAAGCATTCCCAAAGCTGAAATTAAACAAAAATTCCGGCTTTGGGAACAAATTTTCCCGAGGTAAAAAATTGAGAGTATATTCTGATAATGTCTTGAATAAAGATGAAAACTCAAGTATTTTGGGGAAGGACCAGACCTGAGTCAATGTCAGGTGGAGGTAGGGTGGGGGATTAGTGGTTTCATATTACTGACTTTCTGATGGAATGTCAGATCACCCTTTCTTGGGTAAGGGATAAGTGGGTCTCATGACCTGAAGATGTCTTAAATAAACACGAAACCTAAAGTATTTTAGAGAGATTGTGATAAGTAAAAGCATAAATGAGCAAAGTTGTATCCCTTCAACATTACATTACATAACATTTTAAAATATGGAGTAAGAAAGCAGAAAGGTGTGGATGATTACCGTATATCACGGCCTATAAGACGAAATTTGAACATTAAAAAAATCTGCCCAAAGTTAGGGGGTCGTCTAAACCACCAAGTTTAAAATTCTTACCTCTTAAATATTGTGGTTTAGTGTGTCAAGAGTGGTGATGAAAACATCGTAAGCCACTCACAAGGTCTTACCACTAATTATTTTATACTGAAACTTACGTTTGGCAAGCTGGATTAAAATTAAGATTACCGGTATATTAAAATAATAAAAATGTATTATAAACCTGTCTAACATACCGTAAAAGAGATTTATACCCCTGTAATAAACACAGCTATCATCACACACCCCTCCCCACGCCCCCCCCATTTGCCAGTGAGGAGACAAGAAAGGGAAAGTGACCCGAGATTGGGCTATTTTTAGCCGTGGAGGTGGTCAGTAATGCATACCGGTATCGGTATATTTACTCATAATAATATTTATCTCCTATAAATAATTGATTTAAATTTTATTTTTTTACAAAGAATATTCAGTAAATGAGTGCATTAATTCTTGAAACTATCGACGGTTAATTACAGACACTCAAGTGACGTCACTAGTGTTTACACTACACCAGCTGGTAATATTTGATGCCATTACTTGAAGTGAATTGGCCTTATTTTAAGTAACTAACTATAAATAAATACAAAAATTAAAAAAAAAGATCAAAACTGAGAAATAATATACTGTATGTATGTTGTGTTGTCAAAGTAAGAGGAACAATTGTGTAAGTACGTAATATTTTTTCACTCAAATCCTAATGAAACACTACTGGAGAACATTCCTTTGTCGCAAAACAGTTTATAAATTAAAGAAAATAATTACAGTGTGTTTAATATATTACAGTATATTATAAATAAATAAATAAAACAAATAATTCGGTAAATCTATTTAAAGTAAATGGAAAATAAGCAAACATGTTATTTACCAAGACCCTTCCGTCTGGCTCAGGGTGAGATGGAGGGGAGATAACAAAGCTATTTATAGCCCATCAGAAGTGACCAGTACCCTAATGCACCATAAATAATTCATTGAACATTCATTTTTTGTACATAGTATATTCAGTATATATATATATATATATATATATATATATATATATATATATATATATATATATATATATATATATATATATATATATATATATATATATATATATATATATATATATATATATATATATATATGTGTAATAAATGTATGTAGTAAGTACATACTGGTAACCTTTTTCACTCAAATCCTAATGAAACACCACAATTAGAATACGGTGGTTGCTGTTGAACCACATGTTGTATAAATAGTCACACCACCGAGACGAGGGAACACTCCCACCACGCTTCAGTGACGTCACTAGTGTTTACACTACACCAGCGGGTATAATTTGATGACATTACTTGAAGTGAATTGGCCTTATTTTAAAAAATCAAGGATGGTTGGTAAAGGACTACTGAGTCAGTGGGTAAGTGTCACATTTGGGGTACTGGTCTTATACAGCAAATAGAGCTCAAAAGCTACTTTTTAAATGGAAATTTGGGGGGGTCTTATACCCATTATAGGCCGTGATATACGGTAGAGAGACGGAGTGGAAAGGAAAGGTAACATGCACCAGTGTTGCCAAGTAATAAGCTCCTCAACACTGAGCTTTTAATTTGCCTCCATGCAGTCACACAACAAGACCCTCACTAGATGCTTGTCGTCTTAATTCCCGTGTGTGTGTGTGTGTTTTAGCCTGCCAAGCACATTGTAGGATTTGAAGAAGTTGATGAAGGGTCAAGTGGTGAGGTGACATGCCAAGACACTTACACAGCACACATTAACAGCACTACTAAACCATTGTCTTATAACATTTTACATTATAATTTCTATTTTAAAATTAATTGATACATGATGGCTCAACAGGGCACTTTTGCACTTAGACAACTGATCAATGAATAAACCAGGGCATATGGAGACTCATTAGTGATGTCACAAAGCTTTGAAACTACAACCACATAAATTATCACAACCTGTACTTAAATGTACTGTACTAAGTTAATTACTAAAATTATTATGTATGGTGCAAAATAATGGATGTTTATACTCAAATTAATTGCTATCTTACAAGAATTTCAGCAATGCAAGTTGTATTCTCCTAAGTGAAATCAGTTACATTTTATAAAGCAAAACAATATAACCCCTCTACCTTTACCCATAAGTAATCCCCCCCCCCTCCTCCCAGCCAGAGGTATAAGGGTCATATAGGGGGTAAGAGTGACCGCGACAACCCCCCTCCCTAAATGGCTAATTCACGGTGTGTGTGTGTGTGTGTGTGTGTGTGTGTGTGTGTGTGTGTGTGTGTGTGTACATAAGATAAATGACACTGTTTCCATGAGTACATATGTTGGCCTCCCGCGCAGTCTCACTTTTTTCTCTACCAATTCATTGTTCACTTCTATTGTACGTGCATTGCATAACATTAATTAAAAGATACCTACAGTATTTTTTATATTAACTTTACTACTGTGCATCTACAACCATCGTTAGTCAAGGCTTTAATGTACACAAAATCAATACAATAAGCTCTAATACCCACTCATTTCATCCCAAATACTATTGGATAATTGCTTTGGAAAAATCCATAAATGGCAACTGTAAGCTGATGGGAATCGAATTAGTCCTGTCCATATGGTAGGTACATGGGTGTCAAACATGCGGCCCGTGCCGACACACTCTTGCATGCGGCCCATTTGCTGCTCCAGCTTTACCTTGAGGAGCTAAAACTAAATAGTGAGTGTATCCCTCAGCTGAATAAAATAGTCTGCTGTTTCCTAGAACAATATACTCAATCATCATCACCAATGAGCTCCAGTGTGATTCTGTGTTGAGGAACAAGTTTTCGAGTGTTGATGTTGGCACATTTTATCAATATTTTGGACCAAATTATCCCAGGATTAAATGTTTTGCCTCAAAGATTATGCCAATGTTCAGAAGTACATATGTCTGTGAACAACTCTTTTCTGTGATGAACTTGAACAAGTCTCAGCTTCGGTCTCAATTACTGATGCGCACCTTAATTCAATACTGAAGGTTGCTACACCTCAGTCGTTAGTGCCAAACATTGATGCACTGATCCATACCAAGAGGCGCCAATTATCAGGAAGCAGCAGTCGCAAACAATAAGATTGATCAAGGTAAGTAAACACTTGATTTGTTTGTTTTTAAGGGTTTCGCACGAGCGCAGACTAAATCCACCTTTCTTATTTTGTCGTACTACTCACCTAAGAGGTGATTGCGAAGTGCTCATAATTATGTTACTTGGCCGCATACTGTGTACTCATATTAAATTTGGCCCGCCTTGGCAAATGAGTTTGACACCCCTGAGTCAGGTAGGAAATACCGACTGCACCCCCCCCGTCACCAAGAGATCACTACACATACATGTATAGTTCAAGAAACACAAGTCAACTTGTGGCATGATGGATGACTCATTAATGAGTAATACGGTATAAAATAAAGAGATTTTCAGGGATTTTTTTTTTTAATATACGTACGTATACAGTATTTATGAAAGTCATCTGGTTAGCCGGAAATCTCTCATCCCCGGAAGTGCTCTGTACCAATTGTTCCGGCTAATGGGGATATCACTGTAAATAAATACAGGGGACCCCCCAAATTCGCGGATTTTTACTTCGTGGTTCTCGGTTATTCGCGGATGACACCATGGATGTACCCAAGAATGTCTGTGGGTAGTTTTAAATTTGCTATCATTTTTGCAGCTAGGGCAGGGAGCCATTTGTTCTAGAGACAGTAATTTCCTTCACAGCATACCTATATTGTAAATGTGTGCGTGTGCATATGTGTGTGTGTGTGTGTGTGTGTAGACACACACACACACACCAAACACATAAAAATAAATAATAATGGGAAAATATTCAAATAATCAGAAACAAATTTATTAAAAATGTGGCAGTCAACCCTCAGGTCCAATCTCTATTATAGTATTTATTAATAGAGAAGGGACTTGAGGGTAGACAGTCACATTTGTAGTAAATTTGTTTCTGAATATTTGTGAGAAGATTTTCCAATTACAGTAAGTCCTCGCTTACCGTTGTTTCGGTACTACATCGCTGAACTTTAGAGACCAAAAATCCGATACCAAGTCGTTTTGTGTCGTCACGGACTACTTTTTATGACACATGACCCGCTCTTATCTGGCCGCGCTATGCTCTCTCGGCTCAGCGCGCTGCCTTCACTTGCGTAACGTCACAGCGTTCCCAAGAGAGTCTCTGTTACAACTGCACATCATTCATGTATACTTAAGTGCTGTTGCTCTAAAACTGTACACTAACCATTCGAAATGGCTTCCAAGCACCCATCAAGTGCTACTGATGCTAGTGTAGAGAAAAGGCAATGTAAGACCATTACTCTGGCTACAAAAATGGATGTATTAACCTGATTTGAAAAGGGGGAACATGCTGTGGACATAGCTGCTGTGCTTGGTCTATCCCACAACTGTGCGTACTATCTAGACCAACGCTGACAAGATTAAGGTTAGTGCTGGAAGTGGTTCTTCTTTGAGTGCTACTAAGACGACTCATACTAGAAGCACTGTGATAGAGAAGGTGGAAAAGATGCTGGCAATGTGGATGGAGAACCAGAAGCAACGCAATGTCCCTGTGAGCCTTATGGTTATCCAGCATAAGGCCAGATCCTTGTTTGACGACTTAAAGGCAGAAGAGAGTGAAGGATCGAAGGAAGAGACCTTTACAGTCTGCCGAGGATGGTTTCAACGATTTAGGCGTCGTTATAACTTCCATAACATAAAGATAACTGGTGAAGCTGCCAGTTCAGATACGGTTGCTGCCGAGACATTACCGCCAGGATTCAAACGGATTATCCAGGAAAGAGGCTACTCACCGAAGCAAGTCTTCAATGTGGATGAGACTAGTCTCTTTTGGAAGAGGATGCCTAAGAGCCTATATCTCCAAGGAGGAGAAAAGAGCGCCAGGTTTTAAAGCGGCAAAAGACCGCTTGACGCTGCTACTTGGCACCAACGCTGCCGGTGACTTCAAGCTGAAGCCTATGCTGATTTTTTGCGCTGCCAACCCACGGGCCCCGAAAGGTTACTCTAAGGATCACCTTCATGTGATCTACATGGCAAACAAAAAGGCATGGATAACCGGCACCATATTTAGCCAGTGGTTGAACGTGTTCGTCGTCCCTGCACTGAAGGAATACTGTAACGAGGAGAACCTTGACTTCAAAATTCTTCTGATCCTTGACAATGCTCCAGCTCATCCTCCCAATTTCGACGACTTGCATAACAGTGTAAAAGTTGTATTGCTGCCTCCCAACATGACAGCAATGATGCAGCCTAAGGACCAAAGCTTCATCGCCATATTCAAGGTGTATTATTTACACCGTACCATGGCCCAGCTGCTCAAGGCTACAAACGGGAGAAAATAAACTAACGATCCGAGAATATTGGCGCGGCTTCAGCATTTTTCATGCAACTGACACCATTGGCACGGCATGGGAAGAAGTTTCAGAAAGTTGCCTGAATGGTGTGTGCCGTAAACTGTGGCCTGAGTGCGTGAACAGTTTTAAGGGATTCATGGAACTTAGTCCCAGCTGGGATATCTTCAGCTTGGCTAGACAGGCAGGCTTTGATGAACTGGAATCAGAAGATATTGAGGACGTACTGGCATCCCATACAGAAGAGCTCGCCAACAAAGATCCGCAACAATTAACAGAACACAGTCCTGTTGAAGATGACGATGACGAAGAAGAATCTCAACAAGCGCTAACTTCCAAGGGGTTGGGAGAATCGTTGAACATGTTACAAGTAGTAATGCAAATGCTTCTAGATCACGACCCAAACAGAGAACGTAGCTCAAAGGTTCAACGCAGTATTGAGGACAGTCTTGGTTGTTTACCGAGATCTATAAGGAGAAGAAGATGAGTAGCACCAAGCAGTCAACATTGGTTTTTCATCATGGGACTGCAGAAAGAGCTTCTTCACAACAGCCGGCAGCCGAGGAGGAGCAAACTACAACGGAGGAGGAGCAAGCAGCAGCAGAGGAGGAGCAAGCAGTGGCGGAGGAACCCCAGTCAGCGCAGGAGGAGGAGGTAGTCGCAGAGTCTCGGTGACTCACCGCCCTCCACACACACACACACTCGCTCTACCACCTTCGCCCATCGGTGAGTACCAACACAAACTTAGTACTGTAGTTCTATATACTGATCTCTATAGAAATGGCGATGATTTCCTGTATATATAACTTTTTTCATGGGGCAAAGGGAGGCTCAGGAACGTAACTCCCGTATTTTATCTATTTCTAATAGAGAAAATTGATCCGCTCAACGTTGTATCGCTTACCGTCGCGTTTTCGGGAACATAACCCAGACGTTAAACAAGGACGCCCTGTATTATTTATTTGTATGTGTTGAGTGTGTGTGTCTACATACACACACGCAAATGTTATTCGCGGATTCGGCGATTCGCGGCCATTTTGAGAACCTAACCCCCGCGAATTTGGGGGACCCCCTGCATATGTATATATAATATGGGTCATCAAATGGAGTTATTTTCAAGGAACAAGGCTTCAATACAGCCAAGTGTGACAGCCAAAACAGCACACAAGGTTTCCAGATATATGAGAGCACTCGGCAACACCAGCTGATGGGTGAGTCGCTGCTGAGAGCCAGCACAGAGCTGCCGAGAGCGCATGTGATACCAAGGAAAAATTAACTTTTTTCCAGATGTTAAAACCCTGTGCAACTAAAAACAAAAAAATTTAATGTGGTATATAAAAACACTGGGTACGTTAAATCTAGTAAAAAAATTACCTGTACAGTAGGTTTGGTGTTTTTAGGTATCTTGAGTCAGAAATCCCCATCCTCTGGAATTTTCCACCTTGTACTATAGAAAATAACCCCCACCCAACTCGGAATTTGGGCCAAACTGGACAGGCTTCCCCCCCCAATTAGTTCGAATTAGAGGAAATTTTCTGTATACAGTAGTCCAGCAAGTTATGGTGTGTTGCCAAACTGCCTGCTACTCTCATACACACAGAATATAGTATACCCCAACTCTCTTAAATTTTCTTCTATACACTATTATTATAATACTGTACAGTATACAGTATAAACCCTCAAATATATATTGTGTATATAGTTCGACCCCCTACTGTTTGCATAAAAATTTGATCATAAAAAATCAAAACTGCATTTGAGTATACGTATATGGTATATGATTATGAAAGATGTTTACTTATATATTAGGTATTTGAAATAACTATGCATAATTTACTAATCAAATCTCCCATATATTGTGTCATTAGTGATATGATCATACACTCCACTCTTCAGTGGTTTAACTATAGCCACAATTCTTTCCACAAAGAATCACTCATTTCTCCTTGACAACTTCGAGTCACACTCTATCATTATATACCCTCTCTTAAAGTACTTTTTTCCAATCCTTATACTAATATATAGACTGTCTATATTTCCACATATGCCTTATTATAGCCATAAAGACAGTGAAGTCTTTTTCTTAATAAAATTGTACTCCAGAACTCCACATGCACCAAAATCCTGATCTTGAAACACAGAGGTAGACTTTGTTACAGCTTTCAGATGACCAAACATACTTACCATTCACCTCATCAACGATAATATAGGCATCATATCTGTGCTGCTCCTCAACTCAATCCTTGACTAACTTAAACATAAACAATTCCTATTTCCAATTTTCTGATGTTGCTTCATATATTTACATACCTTCAGTGAATTCAGACGAGCAATCTCTCCAGTGAAAAGACGAGCCGGGTCATACTCCTCGTGAACAGTCAACCTGTACTGCCTCATGTTAATGTCCAGGTTCTGAGCTTCTATGCCAAAGATTTCACAAACCTATAAAGGAGTAGAGCGAGTTTAAGTTTATTCAGTAAAAAGATATATCACCATTGTTATCAACCATTTTCCATAAAATTAATTATAACTTTAATGTTCACATCAAATCACAAAATAACTGCCCGGGGTACCCCATCAAGTTGCTTATGTCGTATTAACACTCTTGGGTTTAGGGAGGTGCTCTCCAGCGAGATGCTCGGGGTCTGGCTGGTCACTAACCTCACCGCACTTGACAGCACAACACAGGAGATAACTGCACAGTAATGAGTCATAGCAAACTTGCTATTCGAGATAAAAAGGTGGGGTTTGTTGCAATAGCATTGTAAATAAATTATCTACAAACAGTTTTTTATGAGTAATCATGATAGAACACATGATGGAACACAAAAGTTTTGTTTACGCTTAATGAAAATGTTTATCCATCTCTTTACACCTTCGTTATTTCGTGATTGTAATATGAACTTTATTCCATTTTAAATAATACAAGTTTAAAAAAAAATAGTTAACGAATAAAAGTTGTGAAAAAAAAATATATTTTGTTTGGTAATAGTGGTGTAAATTGTGCATTCTGATGAGCACGCCCAGACCAAGTACAGGTTATTAATTTTTCCTTCTGAGTGCAAAAGATAATTATACATGTTGAGTCATAGCAAGTTTATTATTGGAGGTAAAAAGTTCAGGTTTGATGCATTAGTATTGTAAATACATTATCTACAAATAGTTTTATATAGGTAATCACAATAAAATTATTAAATCTATACGTAAGCGCGAGTATAACACAAATTACATGGCTGTCACTCAGGTTCCCAAATCTGAATGTTCCTCACTCAAAGTTTCTATATTTTTTACATAAATTATATATAATCTGTTTATAAATACTTATTATTTTTTCAATTCATATGAAATAATAATTGCAAATTATTGGTTAAATGTAGAGCATAAAAATATATAAATATTGTTTTTTTACAAAAATAACTGAATTTATTTATGTACTGGACTTACAAGTTAGATGTTGGAGCACTAGGTGATGTTCCTCCCCCCCCCCCTTCTCCGTGCCCCACAGTGCTGCACTTAGCCTGAACAAGGTGACTAAATCTAATTTTAGTGGGAGTACGGGTAGTGCACAGTGTGAGGGAGATGAGCGGTCATGAGGTAAGTCACACTGTGATGGCTGAGATACCACAGGTGCAACACTGTTTATTTTTCCTTTTAGCCACAGTGACATGCCAGGCAGTTCCTTTTGCACTAGGACTGCTTGTTGAAGGGCCAGACAACATTTGCACTACAAGGGCCAGGGACACTGGGAGGGCCTCAGGAGGCACCACACTATCACCATGTAGTGTAATCTCCTTGAATTTTTATTTTCCCACCCTTCCACCTTTGCCAGCAACATAAGCATGGTTAAAAACTATCACAACACTATCAATAAATGAAGTCACTGTCACAACACTATCAATAAATTAAATCACTGTGATGCACGAGAAATCGGCAAAAGCCACGAGAAAATGGTGGGAAATGTGGGACAAAGTTATGTCCTGTCTTGTTGATCCACAAAGGGTGACTGGTGTAGTCACTCACATAACCTTGGAGTCTACATAGGTGCCAGATCACACGGATGTTGCCAAATGTGCTTCTTGCATATCTGGCATTCATACGCAAACTTAAAATTATTTTATTGTAATTTTTGAGCTCATACGCAAATTTGCTTATGAAAACCCAGAAGCGATAATTTAGATCAAATGCAAATTTGTGTATGAAAACCCCAAGTGTGTTAAGTAACACAAAATCGTGAAACAAGGATTATGGTATTACAGTACTGTAATCTACATACCTTTGGCCACATGGCATCCTTCCAGGTGATGAAATCATCTTCCATGTTAGCATCGTCGTCACCCATTCCCAGCTCGTATATTCGGGATGCTCCGAGTTCAACCAAGCGCTTGTCTATATACTTCCCCATGGCATTGTAGTGTTCATAGGTCTTGTTGCCCAAGCCAAATACCTGCAACAAACAAAAAGGATATGCCCCTTCAATAAATGTTTATTCTTATCATTAATGTGTATTAACAAACACTAATTTTTCATGAGTGATATGATTAGTGGATACAATATAGAAGCCAGGTGAATTAATTATTTGTTTAAAAAAACAAAGTTACTTACTGTAAATTGTACCCCATCAAGTTGCTCTTCACCATTTTGCAAAAACTCGTAAAATTCTTGGGCGTTGTCAGTGGGGTCTCCTTCACCGTAAGTGGCAACACAGAAAATGGCCAGATGGTTCTCAACCTCACTAAGTTGTGCCAGTTCACTCATGTCACATTCTTCTGGGTCAGCCACCATGCCCTGTGAAAAAGTCAACACTGTAGACCCTGTACAGCAAGTGATGAGCTCAAACTCTTGGTTCCAATACAAGTAAAGGTCACCATGTCCCCCCTTCTGGAGACAAAACAAGCATTCTTTATATACATAAAAAATACTATTGAAAGAGCTGTGAATATGACTGGAGAAGTAAATCTGTTGTGAGGGACAGGGATACTGTACTATACAATTCTAAAACAATAAAATTGAAATTGAAAAATATTTTTTTGGCAAAAAAAAAAACACATTCCCCCCAAATATTTTAGAATGTAATCTCAGAGATCTTTCTAAAGGACACACTGTAGTTCTAAAGACATCATCTAGACAGAAGAGCAGTAGCTAATCTAACAACAAATTCTCACATACATAAGCAATGTCAGCCATGATGAACTGCAGTGAAGCCTCCCTTACCTAGACTTCTCTTAATGTGAAATCACAAGAACAAGATTTGGTAACAGTCTGTTTTACTTCAAGATGATCCTTCGTTTCCAATTACATGTACAGTACTGTATTCACAATAAAATCTACTTTGCTACACTGTTTCCCAGAATGTGCTTGAATACCTGCTGTAATATGTGAATTATCTAGTGCTTAATGCTCACCTGAAGATGTACAGCACATATAAGCTAATTCAAAGGGACTCAAATCATGTTTTAACCCATGTGTTTCGGGCTATGGTCGTCTGGCACCCCCACCCCTCCCACGCGGGTATATTCAGGAATATTTAAAAACAAATAAAAAAGCAACTCTTGTCTTGCAAACTGGCCATGCATGATATAAGCAGGAAATAAATACATGTCCCTACCACAGGTTGGCAACACCGGGGCTAGGAAGAATCGAGAATGTTCATAAATTGGCATGTGTGTGATGCAGCAATAACAAGGTAAACACACTAATTTGTGGACAGAATGAGGTACAGGACACTAGTTTTACTCTGTTATTACTATTAACAATCATTATTAGTGTTCTAGTAATTGATCACAATACTATACATGTGCTTGGGGGTAGAAACACATGGTGATGCGAGTCTAATTCAAGGGTGAGGTGCCGACATCGCAACAGCTGAGAAACTACTGGGAGGCTCTCATGTGTGAGTGAATGAAAGATAAATACAGTACCTGCCAGGTACTTGGCAACATAATCTAGCCAGACCCGCCCTTTATATTCAAATAGACCTGTGAGATTAAAATGTCATGTGACGTGACCTGAAGCTCTACAGACACGTCATAGGATGTTAACCCTTAAACTGTTAGATGGTTATTACGGCTGAAACAGACTGTGGGATAATGAAAATACAACACCGAGCCATGCATTAGGATGGAGGGAGGAATGTTGAGGAATGGGGGGGGTTAGAGTGGAGATTTATTGTACTTTTGGACATGTGGTCGAACAGTGTTACCAGACCAATTAGGGCATAATTTATAACCTTTAAGGTGTATACAGGTACAAATACAGTAGAAAGTCGATTTAAAGCGATTCAATTTAATATTATTGATTTAAAGCGACACCCACAATTCTGGACAATGTTTTAATTTAAAGTGAATCTTTCCTATTTTGTGCAAGTCAATCTGGCGCATCATATTTAAAAATTTGTGCCTAATGTTTCTCTCACGCTACACTGTTCTAAGGGCAAAGTTGTACTGTACATGTACTCAAAATAATGTACTAAATGATTACTAAAATTCTTGTATAGTGCAAACTATAGCATGATTATATTCAAATTAATCGCTATCTTATAAGAATTCCAGCAATGTAAATTTTATTCTCCCTGGTCACTTCTGTGACATTTTATAAACAAAAAACAAACTCAAACTAAAGGACATAAATAAACAAATAAATACTTCACTAGACCTTCAGCCCCAACTGTCAAACGTCACTGTCACCGCCCCCCCTCTTCCCAGCCAGGGTTGAGTGGTTTTAGGCTTAAAGTTTTTATCTTATATATTATCTCAGACTAAAGTTAGGAGAATATAATTTGCATTGCTGGAATCCTTGCAAAACAACGAATAATTTGAATATAAACGTCATATATTTTGCACAAGAGATAAAAATTTTAGCCCTTTGTAATAAAATTAATTAAAACTAAAATTTTTATGTCTAATGTGAACTATAGCATGGATATATTCAAACTAATCACTATCTTATAAGAACTCCAGCAATGTTAATTATATTTTCCCAGGTCAGTTCAGTGACATTTTATAAGAGAAAAACTTAAAGTCACTCTTAAGGACAGATAAATAAATAAGCAATAGACCTTGGCATCAACTGTCAAACATATCATCTCACCTCCCTCCCTCCCCCCCATCTTCCCAGCCGGTAAACAGACCATTTCGTTTACCATTCGCATCCCTTAATTTTAGTTGTGTTAATTTATGAGTATTGGTTTTAACCCTTAGGCCCCGGGTGACGTTCCAGAACGTCCACCTATTTTGCCTCCATATTTTTATTTATTTATTTTTATTTTTTTTATTTTTTTTTTTTCTCCATTAAACCCCGCAGGGGAGTGAAGGGGGTGGGGTACTGCCAGCAGCACCCTAACCCGGGGCTTAAAGGTTAACATAATACTACAAAAAACAATGTTTAGTTTATTCTAGGAGATAGGCTAAGGCTAAGGTGCATCTGGGTAGACTGTCAGTCTTTTTAGTATTTTGTTTCTCTCAAGTACCAAACTAAATTATTCCATTGAAACAACACTTCAATTAAGTGCGAATTCAGTTTAAAGCGACCTCTCTTGGAACGTATCTTGCGTTATATCGACGTTCTACTGTACATGTGGGTGGATGTACATTTAATTATTGGAGGAAAAGTACACAATAAATTAATAATGACCAATTTAAGACTTTAAGACTTTATTTCAAAATTGTCCAATTGTCTATAATAAATCGTATTGAATGATATAAAATGGTCCATGATTGATATGCAAGTGTGGTGGTTGTTGGGAGTGATAGATAGTCCGCCATGAGGCCTGAAGCATCAGCTCCATGTGTGGTGGTGGTGAGCTGTAGTAATGTAAACCTACCACTTAGTTTTCTTACAGCAAGTTTTCATTATTTTTTTTTTATAAAATGAAGTTGTAGAACTACATTTAATAATCATTGGTAAATTATAAGAAAACAAACAGCTGATAATATCAAAATTGAGGCTGTTGACACCAGCTGATTATCACCCAAAGCTACCTTGACCCTGAACAAATGCAGTCATGGAAGTACTTGTTCAGACTCAAGGCAAGTTATAGTTAGTTTAAAAGTGTTTTAAAATGTTGGAATTAGTGAAGTCAGAAAAAGTGATGTCTTAAAGAACTGTTTACATCATCCTCTTTGCTACTGGTCAGCTCTTTGGCTAATTGGGCCTTTAATGTAAAGACATTAAATGTGTTTTTAATGCTTCATTCTGTTACCAATAAATACAGTATATTAAAAGTTATTCATTACATATGTCCTTAACTTTAATACTGAAGCAAACAAAGATAATCAATCAGCTGATGAAAAAACTGACTGGCTAGCAGCATCGGTATAGCAGATCACAAGATTCACGACACTGTGAGTTCCACTCCGCCATTACTTACCTTGAGTCTAACCAATTACAGTCCAGGAAACAGTTGTTCATACTCAAGGGGAATTATAATTTATTAAAAAAAAAAAAGTGGTTTGAAATAATGTAATTAGTGCTAAGGTGGCAAAAAATGGTGTCTTAGGGAGCGACTGCTTGATTGTGGTACAGTAATTACATCCCTCGTGACTTAAGGGTTTAGGTTATATGCTGCCAAATTAAACTTAAAGCTTAGAAGGCTAAAAACAATTACTGCAAGGTAAAAGAACAGACCAAATAATAAACAGCATAGAACTTTCATAAAAACTCTTTGAATGTTAATAGATAAAACTCAGGGAAGTGCTTATAATGAAGATCTGTAAGACTGGGGCACTGTACCAGAAAGTGTCGAACAGTCAATGAGACCAGGCAGTCATCACAATGGGGAGGGGGCACCCTCTCCATTAAAAAACAATGAGTCGGATGCATGTAGCCAATGAGAAGGCGGGCCAAAGCAATCTCTCAGCAGTACGACAGTCCTGATATCCCCAGGCACCCAAATCAGGGTGGATGCCATGGAGCTTGTTTGCTCCAACAGCATCCCACCTGCATTGCCAACTCAAGCGGATGGCAGCTCATATTACCAGCTTCATATCAGAGGCAGGTAGGAGGAATGATGTGCCACAGGGTGAGAAGCAGCTGCTTTTGCCACAGCATCAGCACACTCATTCCCCTTCTCCCCCACATGGGCTGGAACCCAGCAAAAACTGACATTTTTATAAGGCAATTCTTAGTCCCCTGGTGTAATACGGCTTTCATCTAAAATGTGGTCGAAAAGCTAAATTACAATTTGTAAAGAGCAGGAATCAAGAGCCATGTGTCATAAAATTTGACAAACTACAGCTACTCTGAATGATTAAATAAATCTAAAGATATTCTGCATATTAGCCCAGGGTAGTTATAATTTTTCTAATAGTAGACTAAATAAAATTTGGTAATAAAAGTCCTGCAATGTGAACCAGCTGAGGCATTGAATAAACAGGATATCATAAGTCATCAGATGACTAGTACTGGAAACCTGAACACCACATCCCTCCCTCAACACACAAATACAGTAAATGCATGTTCAAATGCACAATAATAATAATAATAATAAAAAAATCCTTTTGAATTTTCTTAGCATCAAACATTTCACAAATTAAGTTATTAAAAAAAAAAAGCCTCAGTTGATATAAAATATTCATCCTCTTTGATATGTATAACTTTATGCTTTTCCTCAAATATTCTCATGATGGGGTTTATCACGCCTTGCCAGTACATGTACAAACCTTCAAGCCATAGCGGGTAGCTTCCTTAGCCAGTCGTCCGGCAAATTCTTCAGCTGTTCCAGTCTGAGAGCCATAAAAGACTATGACATTCCTTCCGGATGACTTCATTTTTGATACAAAGTTGTTGTCGTTCACACGTGACTGTAGTTGTGTGGGTCTGGCAAATCATGGCAAATAAGAAATTAGAATTTGACTAACAATAATGGGTTTAAACAGATCATCATTGATTAGGTCTTGTTTTACCTACAGAGAAGCTCCCACTGCAATGGTACAGGTAAGCCTACTAAGTGGGTGAATTACAAACATTCAACTAGTGAAAGTGGGTTCCAGAGGCCAGTGATGATACAGCACACTGAATGCTAAGATTTTGGTACAAAAGGACACCATATAGCCAGCACTGAACTCACGTACAGTACCTTCACTTCCCCAACTGTAAAGTTTGGTACCCATTCTACAGTTTAGCTGAGTGGGGACACCTCATTCAGTGGTCTGCTGTGGGAATTACACCAGTTACCTATCATGGGCTGAATGCTTTATCAATTCAACTGTCACTACACTTAGTCGAAAGAAACAGGGTTCGTTTATTTGCTGGTCATTATTCACTAATACGGTACTTAAAAATACTTATCTTTTCCAGAAAATAATACTTATGATTCTTGAGCAACAATCCTGGTATCTGAACTACCTACAACCAAGACAACTTAAAATAGAACCTCATATTGTTTACATCAAAATCTTTCAATACTTCTGGTGTGATTAATAGAAAGTAAAAGCAAAACATTTCCACTAGTTTATGAGCAACTGAATCAATGACTGGTAATATTGAAGGCACCTTCAAAATCTGAGTGAAAAAGAAAGCAACATGTCTAATGTACCTCTTATTTTCAAAATGCAAATCACCATAAATGGTCCAGAATAATAATCAAGCCAGTTATCCATGGCAAAAAAGAACAAATGTCACGAAACCTAGTTGTTGTTCAAGTAAACAATCAATAGTATTAATTAATATTCCTGAACACAACCACCCCAAGCCTCCAAAGTGGCCCACAACAGTACTTAAAAGATGAAGAGCAAGATCAAGTATTGAAGTCATATTACTGTACTATATCATATACTGATGTGAAGGTGATATGGGGGTTGTTGATATTTGGACTTTGTGGGAAACAAAATACAGTCAGTCCTCGACTTACGACGGGGTTAGGGACCGACGACCAGGTCGTAAGTCGAAAATGCGAAAATAATACATAGAAAATCTAAAATGGGTGTCTCTTTTTCTTCTCAGCACCATGAGAACTCTCACTTTAATGCTTGCCAGCCATTTTAAAGAGAATTACAAATGAAAGTTTTGTCAGTACACAGCGCGATCACTAACGTCGGGATTTGAAAATACGTAATTTGAAAAATATTTTATACGATTGCAGCGGTCGTATGTCCTGCAGCGGTCGTATGTCCTGCAGCGGTCGTATGTCCGAGTGGTCGTAAGTCGAGGAGTACCTGTACAGTAATAGATAATGTGGTAGTCTCACATATTTACAGCCATATTTTCCAAATGGTGCAATACATGCAATTTCTCCTGCAAGCTCCATCAATATTCAGAAAGAGATTGAGGTACAGTAATACAGTACAAGTATACAGATTTTTTTTTTATGAGGCTTAGCCCACCTGGGCACTGGTCACTGACCTACATCAATGCCTGGGGAGTAAAAATAAAATATTAATAATAATAAAATTAATAAAGATAAATAAAAATTATAATAAAAAATAAAAATAATAAAAATAACCACAAATACTGTAAATACAAAAATTAAAAATACATCAAGATTAAGAAACTATAAACAATACCTGTATGCATGTTGTGTTGACAAAGTAAGAGAAACAATTGAGGCCCTGCAATTGTGTGTAAATAAGGCAGAAAGTCAGATCAGCAACCTGGGACTTGGTCACAATTTTCGTGATGCTATATGGCAGCAGTGTCTACCATAGACAACACATTATGCTTCTAATATCTTCCCAGGTGGTAGTACCTCCCTGTTTGATAGCTGCCTCCTACCTAAGAAGTAATACATTTCACAATAGTTTTAATTGGATTAATGGCAGCAATGTAGTGAGTCATACTGTCAGTCACTAAAAATTCCTACAAAAATGACATCATCCTGCTTACAAAACCATAATAATTTGTAATACAGTACACTCCCAACTTACCCGTATTTTTCTTACGCGGTTTCAACTATACGCGGATTACCCCGGGGGTTACGGTACTATTTCCAATTTCAAACTAAAAAATTTAAAAAACTTTATGTTTAGTGCAAACTATAGCATGTTTATATCTAAATTATTCACTATCTTATTATAAGAATCACAGCAATGTAAATTATATTCTCCCAGGTCAGTTCAGTGAAATTTTATAATCAAAAAACAAAAACTCAATCTAAAGGACATAAATAAATAAATACTTCACTAGATATCCCGGTACCAGCTGTCAAACATATCACCTCCCCTCCCCCTCTCCCCCATCTTCCCAGCCAGGATTGGTGATTTTAGGTTTAAAGTTTTTATCTTATAGAATATCACAGTTGTCTAATGGTAGACCCTGCTGCCATATGACATCACAAAAATTGTGGCCAAGTCCCAGGTTGTTGATCTGACTTTCTGCTTCATTTACACACAATTGCAGGGTCTCAAATGCTTCTCTTACTTTGACAACACAACATACAGGTATATATATCATTTATTACTTTTGATCTTTTTTTCATTTTTGTATTTCTTTATGGTTCTTTATTATTATCATTATCATCAGTGTTGTTGTTATTATTATTTTATTTCAATTATTTTTTTTTTTATTATAAATTTTATTTACTATGAACTAATTATTATTATTACAGTACTACCACGCCCTAACGGTTTTATACGCGTTTTATATATCGCGGTGCCTCGCCAGAGCAGGCTTTCCTGCTGCGGATTTTTCCACATATCTCGCGGTGAGTGTCCGGCGAGGCAGCTATTTAGATTTGCCCACCGCCACCTGCCTGACTGCCTGTTTTAGCTCATAAAATTCGCCTACGATACCGGCAGAATCTGTTTACATTGCTGGTGCCTGTTGCGATCATTTGCGGAATATAAACATCATATATTTTGCATCAGACGCCTAAGTGCAGGTATTTTTCTCAAGAGTAACTTTCGTTATCTTTTGTGCAAAAATATATGAGCATTTATATTCAAAATATTCCTGATCTTACAAAAGAATCCAGCAATGTCAATTATATTATCCTAACTTTAGTTTGAGGTATTATTTATTAAAATTTAGTGGTTATCCCACACATCTCCTTGGGACGGTTGGTAGGGGGTGGGGGGGAGGGAGGGACCGACCGACCATCTGTTACCCCGTGAATTTGTTTTAGCTCATAAAATTCATACAAATTACCCGGTCTGAATATAATTTACATTGCTGGAATTCTTATAATTTGATGATCATTTTGAATATAAACATCATATATTTTGCATTAGACATACAAATTTTAGATAAAAATTTTTCTCAAATTAACTATGTTATCTTTTGTGCAAAATATATGACATTTATATTCAAAATATTCCTGGTCTTACAAGGAATCCAGCAATGTCAATTATATTATCCTAACTTTAATCTGAGGTATTATTTAATACTAAATGTTAAAAACTCTGGAAGGGAGGATTGGTGGGGGGTGGGGGGGAGGGTTGGGACTGACCGCGCGGTTGGAAGAGGGGGGGAGGCAAGGTGGGGTACTTTGATTGACAGATAGTGTCGTGAAGATTATTTTTTTTTATTAACTGAAGATATTTGTTTTAGCTCATAAAATTCATACAAATTACCCGGTCAGAATATAATTTACATTGCTGGAATTCTTATAATTTGGTGATCATTTTGAATATAAACATCATATATTTTGCATTAAACATACAAATTTTAGATAAAAATTTTTCTCTAGGTAACTATGTTATCTTTTGTGCAAAATATATGACATTTATATTCAAAATATTCCTGGTCTTACAAGGAATCCAGCAATGTCAATTGTATTATCCTAACTTTAGTTTGAGGTATTATTTATTAAAATTTAGTGGTTTTCCCCAAAAATTTCTCAGAGAGGGAAGAGCCGGCAGTGTAGTGTGAGAGGGGGAGGGAGTTGAGTCCATTATTTGAATGGACATTAACTTGGCGACTGTATTTCTCTATTTCTCTTAAGTATTAATTGTGTGCATGTGCCATCATAAAATTAAGATGTTATTTTTACTACAACATAGGTATGTGCCTTCAAAAAGTGGAGTTTGGGGGTCGGGCCGGTTTCTATTGGAATTAATCCCATATGTTCTGTTGTTCACTTAACGCGGATTTCACTTAACATGGGACCCTCTGGGTTCTATTGACCGCGTTAAGTGAGATTTCTTTATATTAAATTTTCGCCCCCACGGCCACGATGTGGGTCAGTGACCTGTGCCCGTGCCCGGATGGGCTAATCCCTGTAAAAAAATAAATAGAAAATTTAAATAAAAAATAATAATAAAAAAATAAATTAATTAATAAATAAATACATATTTTGCACGAGATAAAAATTTGAGTACATTAGTGTAGTACATCTTAGTAATGTACAAGATCTTCAACTGTATTTTTGGGTAGATTTACATAAATTTCTACATTTATTTTTATTCAAATACATGCACACACCATCCTAAGGAAAAGTAAAAGAAATAATTGTACTAAGTGCAAACCTGTACTGTACATGTACTGTACTAAATTATTAATAAAATTTTTGTGTCTAGTGCAAATTACAGCATGTTTATATTTAAATTAATCACTATCTTACAAGAATCCCAGCAATGTAAATTATATTCTCCCCGGTCAGTTCAGTAACATTTTATAAGAGAAAAACTTAGTCACTCTTAAGGATTGATAAATAAATACGCACTTGACCTTCGACGCCAACTGTCAAACATATCAAACCCCCCCCCATCTTCCCAGCGAGGGTTGGGTGGTTTTAAGCTTAAAGTTTTTATCTTATATAATATCACAGACTAAAGTTAGGAGAATATAATTTGCATTGCTGGAATCCTTGCAAGACGGAATAATTTGAATATATGTACAGTGATCCCTCGGTTAACGAGCGCCTCGGTTAACGAGATTTCGGTTTACGATTTACCTTCCTTAAGATTCTTAACTTCGGTTAACGAGCAATCCCTCGATTAACGAGTTTTTTACAAGCCAACCTCAACATGTTTTCGCTTGCATTTGGCGGTCCACCAGCTGTAGTATTAGTCCGCCAATACAGTAATCGGTTTTAGGGCTTAAATTCCTTACTATTTTAGTAAATATCAAGAAGTTTATACTATTCAATAATTTTAAAAGTTTAATATTAAATTTTTTAGTCATTTTAACAATTATTGAACATAATTGAAGGTAAAGAAACTAGTTTCTGGCACACCATCCAGCCTGTTAACACAGCAAACAGGCGCCAGTCTCTCTCTCTCTTTTCAGTGGAGGTAACATATTGCTTGAGACTCTCTTCAACTAAAAGCTTTTTTCTGTGTTTCCAAGCAAATTATTGGTCATTTTGAAATTTATTTTACATATTGACAATATATAATGCAGTGCAGTGTTGATTTAAAGAAAATAATCTTGAATTACACCAAGTGAACTAAAATTTTATGGGTGAAATGGCACCATGGGGTGACTTCTCTTCCACCCCAATGCCTTCTCTTCTCCCTTCTCCTCCACCCCCATTCTAATTCCCATCATCATCATCCAGGAGCCTTCTACATACACACCTCAAAGTAAGTGTACTTTTCTACTATTTTTGTTGAATTTAGGCAATTTTCGGTGAGCTGGAACCAATTACCCAAAAAACCATTGAAACAATGATTTCGGTTTACGAGCAACCTGCTGGAACGGATTGTGCTCGTTAACCGAGGGACCACTGTACAGGTAAACATCATATATTTTGCACAAGAGATAAAAATTAATCACCTGTATCACATTACAGTAGTGATTTATAAGTTCTAGTGTATAATTATGTACGCATATATACAGTGATCCCTCGGTTCAAGAGCGCCTCGGTTAATGAGATTTCAGGTAACGAGTTACCTTCCATAAGATTCTTAACTTCGGTTAACGAGCAATCCTCTACTTTATAATTTTATTATAACAATTATTGAACATAATTGAAGTATAGGAAGCTAGTTTTTTGGCTACCAAACAGCCTGTCAACACACCATACAGGCCAGTCATCTGTTTGGAGATTCTTCAACTAAGTTTGTGTTTAAGCAAATTATTGGTCAATTTAATTATTTTACATATTGATATTTAAAAATAATCTTGAATTACACCAAGAGAACTAAAATTTTATGGGTGAAATGGCACCATGGGGTGACTTCTCTTCCACCCCAATGCCTTCTCTTCTCCTTTCTCCTCCACCCCCATTCTAATTCCCATCATCATCATCATCCAGGAGCCTTCTACATACACACCTCAAAGTAAGTGTACTTTACTACCTTTTTAGTTGATTTTAGGCAATTTTCGGTGAGCTGGAACCAATTACCCAAAAACCCATTGAAACAATGGTTTCGGTTAACGAGCAACCTTCTGGAACGAATTGTGCTCGTTAACCGAGGGACCACTGTGTGTGTGTGTGTGTGTGTGTGTGTGTATATATATATACAGTTAACCCTCACTTTACGCGGTTAATGTAACCCGGAGGGTCCCGCGTAAAGTGAGAAACGTGTAAAGTGAATAACATAACATATGGGATTAATTGAAATGGAGACCGGGCCGACCCCCAAACTCCACTTTTTGACGACACACAACTATGTTGTAGTAAAAATATTATCTTAACTTTATGATGGTATGCACACACAATTAATAATTAAGAGAAATATCAATAATATTAGGTTTTTTAACACTTACATTAGTAGAAAAAATGGCTGGGCACACGGGGATGGGCGGTTGGTTCCGAGGCAGAGGGCAGATTATTGGCCCTCACCTGTGTCACTTGCATCAATTGTATCACTATCCACCACAGAGGCTTGCAGGGCCTCTTTGTCAAACTCCCCAAAGTCCATATAAGTCCATATCCTCACCATAATTATCACTATCACTGACTTGGGCCGGCTGTGGTGGGTGGCGGGTGAAGAACTGGTAATGTTTTGATGACTGGGCGACCTTGTGCGCACCATGTTCGCGCCGCTTACACAACATGGCGTATGGCGGGAGGTTTGAATCCAGAAGGTCGTTCGTTAACCGAAAAGTTCGTTAACCGAAACCATTGTTTCAATGGGTTTTTGGGTAATTGGTTCCAGCTCACCAAAAATTTCCTAAATTCAACAAAAATGGTAGAAAAGTTCACTTACTTTGAGGTGTGTATGTAGAAGGCTCCTGGATGATGATGATGATGATGATGGGAATTACAATGGGGGTGGAGGAGAAGGAAGAAGAGAAGGCATTGGGATGGAAGAGTCACCATATTTTTTCACCCATTCAGTTTCTTGGTGTATTTCAAGATTATTTTCTTTCATCAACACTGTACTACATTATATATTGTCAATATGTAAATATATTCAAAATGACCAATAATTTGCTTGGAAACACAGAAAAAAGCGTTTAGTTTGAGTCTCAAGCAAGATGTTACCTCCAGTGAAAACAGAGAGACTAACGCCTGTTTGCTGTGTTAAGAGGCTGGATGCTGCGCTTTAAACTAGTCACTTTACCTTCAATTATATTCAATAATTGTTAAAATGACTAAAAATTGAATATTAAACTTTTAAAATTATTGAATAGTATAAACTTCTTGATATTTACTAAAATAGTTAGGAATTTAAGCCCTAGAACCGATTAATGTATTGGCGGACTGATACTAAAGCTGGTTGCCCGGCCAGTGCAAGCAAAAACATGTTGAGGTCGGTTCGTAAGAAATTCGTTAACCGAATTTTTGTTCGTTAACCGAATTGAAGATCCTTATGGAAGGCAGTTCGTTAACCGAAATTTCGTTAACCGAGGCGTTCGTTAAACGAGGGGTCACTGTATATATATACACACACATACAGTCTGCGCGGAAAGTTAGTTCGCCTGCTTAAAAAAAATGCATATTTACTGTTATGTTATATAAATAAAGTCAAATAACATTTACCACTTCAATTAATACTTTGTAAAGTTCCCTTTGCACTTCAGGCAGTCCTTTAGCAAAGTTTTGCAAGAGGTCAGGTGGCAAGTTTGCCCAGATATCCTTGATAGCTGCCTCTAGCTTCGAGATTGATGATGTGTCAGTGTCGCGCAAACGATGCTTAACAATGGACCACAAATTTTCTATTGGGTTGAGATCTGGACTACTGCCAGGCCAGTCATTAAAGAAAGGTACCTCACAGTCTTTGAGCCACTGTATGACACTTTTAGCAGTGTGGCATGGGGCACCGTCCTGCATGAAAAGGCTTGCCTTAGCTTTATCAAATGATTCAGGTAAAAAATCACTGAGCAGCTCAAAATAGTTGTACTGATTCATCATCTGGTTCTCAGGGAGGATTACTAGTTCGCCAACACCATAATACATAAAGCAAGCCCAAACCATAAGTGAGGCAGGGTGCTTAACAGTCTTCACTGTGTACTGTGGGAAATCTGCATCCGAGTGAGGAGGGCGGTACACCCTCCCTCCACCACTGCCAGTCACAAAAAATGTAGCCTTGTCAGATCACAAAACATTCCTCCATGATTCTAAGCCCCACACTGCATATTTCTTGCAAAATTTCACTCTATTTTCCTTCTGTCTCTTCGTCAATAGAGGTTTACAACGGTGCACGGACGCTCTTAAATCCAAGGGCATCATGTAAGGGTTGCCGAACACAGCTTAAGGAGACGTGGCTGAGAAGACGGGGTTTCTCTCTTTCACTTCGTGTGCTGTAAAGGCAGGATTGGACTTAACTTGGCGTGAAATAACCTGAAGTGTCCGTGGACACTTGAGATTTGTTCGTCGACCCTATCGCGACTTAACTTTCCGCGATGTGCAATTTAGGGGATTTCTAGGAGTGTTTCTGACTTTACACGAAGTCCCAGGAACGTAACCCTTTCGTAAGTTGCGAGTCTACTGTACATAATAAAAGCCCATGTAGCTGTTGTCAACTGGTGACCTTTCGTGGTTAACAAAGTAAACAATGGAGGGTGGCCCTACAATACCCCCAAAGAAATGCCAGAAGAGAAAAAAATTAAATAAAAATAAAATGTCACTACTCACGATATGGTGAAGCTCTTGAGGGCCGAAACTTCTTCCTTTTTGTTGTTGTCTCGCAAGAAGAAGTAGTAGACGGACACCCCAGCAAGCACAGTAAGAAGTAACACATCCAACATACCCACCAGCGGCTCTGCCCCAACTTCCTCTGCAGCTTCAGCTGCTGCTTCCATGACCTTCTCTGGTCCTCCCTCCATCCTGCAAACCAAAAGAATCACAATGGCTATCTAGGTTTATCTAAAATGGCCAAATCATACAATCCAGTTAAAAAAAAGGCTCATAAAGTACTTTATAAAGATTGTTATTCTGGCACTCTGTGAGTAAACAAAGTAATTACCTGTACTTGGAATAAAAGTGAAATACATGTATAGAACTTTTACTCATCCTAATTTAAAGTATACTGTACAGTATTTCTAATAAGTGAACATTAAATTTCACAAGTTTTAAAAAGACATACAGTACTGTACATGGAAAACAAAACTGAGTGAATATGGGACCACATTCAAGAACCATTTACCTGTACATATGAGCTTGAGGGAAAGATAATCATTTGTTTACAATTATCAACGACAGTCCTGTACTGTACTTGTAACAGTATCACATTTTTACAAAGTGGCTTGGCAATGAATTAATTGTGCATGAAAGGATTTTCCTTAAAACCACTATTGGATAATGTACCTTTAGAATTATTGTACTGTATAATGAAATATACACACTTTATATAAATAATATTGAAAAATACATATATACAGTTGTACCCCACTTAACGCGGTCAATAAAACCCAGAGGGTACCGTGTTAAGTGAAAACCGCGTTAAGTGAACAACAGAACATATGGGATTAATTCCAATAGAAACCGGCCCGACCCCCAAACTCCACTTTTTGACGACACATAACTATGTTGTAGTAAAAATAACATCTTAATTTTATGATGGTACATGCACACAATTAATACTTAAGAGAAATAGAGAAATACAGTCGCCAAGTTAATGTCCATTCAAATAATGGACTCAACTCCCTCCCCCTCTTCTCACACTACACTGCTGGCTCTTCCCTCTCTGAGAAATTTTTTGGGGAAAACCACTAAATTTTAATAAATAATACCTCAAACTAAAGTTAGGATAATACAATTGACATTGCTGGATTCCTTGTAAGACCAGGAATATTTTGAATATAAATGTCATATATTTTGCACAAAAGATAACATAGTTTACTCAGAGAAAACATTTTATCTAAAATTTGTATGTCTAATGCAAAATATATGATGTTTATATTCAAAATGATCACCAAATTGTAAGAATTCCAGCAATGTAAATTATATTCTGGCCGGGTAATTTGTATGAATTTTATGAGCTAAAACAAATATCTTCAGTTAATAAAAAAAAAAATATTCTTCACGACACTATCTGTCAATCAAAGTACCCCACCTTGCCTCCCCCCTCTTCCAACCGCGTGGTCAGTCCCAACCCTCCCCCCACCTCCCACCAAGAGAAAGAGTTGGGTGAAAAAACTAAATTTTAACATTTTGTATTAAATAATACCTCAGATTAAAGTTAGGATAATATAATTGACATTGCTGGATTCCTTGTAAGACCAGGAATATTTTGAATATAAATGTCATATATTTTGCACAAAAGAGAACATATTTACTCAGAGTAAACATTTTATCTAAAATTTGTATGTCTAATGCAAAATCTATGATGTTTATATTCAAAATGATCATCAAATTATAAGAATTCCAGCAATGTAAATTATATTCTGACCGGGTAATTTGTATGAATTTTATGAGCTAAAACAAATATCTTCAGTTAATAAAAAAAAAATATATTCTTCACAGGGTAACAGATGGTCGGTCGGTCCCCCCCCCACCAACCGTCCCAAGGAGATGTGTGGGAAAACCAGAATATTTAACTTTTTAGTAATAAATAATACCTCAAGCTAAAGTTAGGATAATATAATTGACATTACTGGATTCCTTGTAAGACCAGGAATATTTTGAATACAAATGTCATATATTTTGCACAAAAAATAACATATTTACTCAGAGTAAACATTTTATCTAAAATTTGTATGTCTAATGCAAAATCTATGATGTTTATATTCAAAATGATCATCATATTGTAAGAATTCCAGCAATGTAAATTATATTCTGGCCGGGTAATTTGTATGAATTTTATGAGCTAAAACAGGCAGTCAGGCAGGGTGGCGGGTGGGGCAAATCTAAAAATAGCATCTGAGCCGGACACTCACCGCGTATATGTGGAAAAAACCCGCGTTAAGTGAAAGTTCAGCTCTGGCGAGGCACCGCGTATACGGGTAAAACGCGTTAAGTGAAACCGCGCTAAGTGAAACCGCGTTAGGCGGGGTAATACTGTATTGTACTGTATACTGTACCTGTACTTAATACTCAATGGTGAAATTTACTGAGATTTTTTCTAGATTACTGATTGAGCAGTGTTGGAGGTTTGCCTCACACTGTTATCAATGACTTTATCTACAACTTTGTACAGTACATATCTTACATAACCCAGGAGTGAAAATTGTCTTGCCTTTCTCTCCTGTGAGAATTGCCTGTCATGAAAGGTATGGTATATCAATTATATCTTAAGTGTTGGTATTTCAGACAAAATTTAACAGCATTACTGTATATGATTAACAGTTTACTATAATCTCAACTATTGAATTGTATTTACTTTTCCATACTAAAAGCTGAAAATCATGGCCATCAATTTTTCTACCTTCATAGAATAGCTACAGCAAAAATCCAATTCACTGCATGCATGCAAATGCACAAACAAGTAATACCTGTACAGTGATCCCTCAGTTAACGAATGCCTCGGTTAACGAACTGCCTTCCATAAGAATCTTCAATTCGGTTAACGAACAAAAATTCGGTTAACGAATTTCTTACGAACTGACCTCAACATGTTTTCGCTTGCACTGGCCGGGCAACCAGCTTTAGTATCAGTCCGCCAATACATTAATCGGTTCTAGGGCTTAAATTCCTTACTATTTTAGTAAATATCAAGAAGTTTATACTATTCAATAATTTTAAAAGTTTAATATTAACTTTTTTAGTCATTTTAACAATTATTGAACATAATTGAAGGTAAAGAAAAAGTTTCTGGCGTGCCATCCAGCCTGTTAACACACCAGACAGGCGTTAGTCTCTCTCTGTTTTCACTGGAGGTAACTTCTTGCTTGAGACTCTCTTCAACTAAACGCTTTATTTCTGTGTTTCCAAGCAAATTATTGGTCATTTTGAAATATATTTTACATATTGACAATATATAATGCAGTGCAGTGTTGATTTAAAGAAATAATCTTGAAATACACCAAGAGAACTAAAATTTTATGGGTGAAATGGTGCCATAGGGTGACCTCTCTTCCACCCCAATGCCTTCTCTTCTCCCTTCTCCTCCACCCCCATTCTAATTCCCATCATCATCATCATCCAGGAGCCTTCTACATACACACCTCAAAGTAAGTGAACTTTTCTACCATTTTTGTTGAATTTAGGAAATTTTTGGTGAGCTGGAACCAATTACCCAAAAACCCATTGAAACAATGGTTTCGGTTAACGAACTTTTCGGTTAACGAACAACCTGCTGGAACGGATTGAGTTTGTTAACCGAGGGACCACTGTATAGGTATACAATATATTATAAAAATGGCTATTCGCCGTTTTGCAAATTCATGCCATTCCTTGGAACCTATCCCTCACGAATGGCAAGCATCTACTGTATATTGTTTCTCACTATATTGATCTTTTTTTCTTTTCTGTTTTAATTTATAGTCTTTTATTATTATTAATATTATTAACGTATTATTATTATTATTATTATTATTATTATTATTATTATCATTATATTATACAGTACTGTATTATATTTTCATTTAATATTTGTTATAATTTTTAAAATTTATGTATTTTTTTTACATTTTTATTAATTATTTCTGTTACCCTGTACTATTATTATATTTTTGCCCCCAGGCCCTGATGTGGGCCATTAACCCGTGCCCTGGTGGGCTAATTTCATTAGAAAACTGTACAGGGGGTCCCCAGGTTACGAATGGGTTCCGTTCCTGAGGACGTTCTTAAGGATTTGTACGCAAGTCGGAACACATGCCATGTGCATACCGTACTTACAAAGCAATGTTAAAAATCCCACTAGATCATAGCCTAAGTCCTTATATACATCTAAAAACATTTAATTTAAGAAAAAGAAGAAAAAGAATGACAAAATACAGTCAATTAAAGTAAAATATAAGTCATCAGGTAAATAAAATGCTGTAAATTTTATGTTTAACCTCGTTCATAAGTCGGGGACCTCCTGTACAGTACAAAGAAAGGCCACCTTACTGTTTTACCTTTGTTTGTATACCTGAACTGTGTATGTGCACCCATCAAAAAACTATCATACGTTTTTGTGATAGACAATATGACAAGTTGAATGATTTTGACATGTGCTCTATGGTCTTGCATCACACAAGTAGCCCTGCTTTCCTGATATGGTACTGTATATAAAATACGAGTGACTTCTCCTGTCATTTGTCATAATACAGTGGGGTATGCTATAACGAATCTAATTGGTTCTAGAACCTTGTTCGTTATAGCATTCGTTCGTTATAGGATTAATCCGTTCCAGGCCCCCAAATACAACCACTTAACACTGAAAAATATAATATAAAATTGTAAAAATTGTAAAAAAGTGCATAAATATGCATCTAAACCCCTGAAATAAAGAATATCATTAATACTTATAATAAAAAACAATAAATTAGTAAAAAAAAAAAAAAATTTTTTAAATAATGCTCGTTGTAGGAGTTTCGTTCGTTATAGCATTCTCAATTTTATAGGTAAAACCGTTCGTTATAGGAATATTCGTAGTAGGATCCATTCGTTATAGCATACCCCACTGTATACCAGATATGTTTGTTTTGTATACACAGTACATTAGCAAAAAAATATTTATTGAATAAGAATGAAAAAAAATACATGAATGTAAATAAATAAGATATCCAAGGATGATCATATATACAGGTACTCCCCGACTTACGACGGGGTTAGGGACTGACATCCAGGTCGTAAGTCGAAATGGTCGTAAGTCGGAAATGCTTAAATAACACATAGAAAATCGAAAATTTGGGTCTCTTTTTCTTCTCAGCACCACAAAACACTCACTTTTAAGCTTGCCA